CCCCAAAACCCCAAAACCCCAAAACCCCATCAAACATGGGTTAAGTTGAGCATGTTTTATATAACAAGTTAGGTAAATTAGAACTAGATCTTTTCAGCCGAATTCCTTTAGCTAACTTAATCCATATCACAGGATTTAGCTACTCTGGTGTCAACTGACCTCTTTTAAGAGAGAGATTGAGAAATCATAATGACTCACCCTGAAAGAAAAATTCGATTACTTTCAGCAAATTGCTCAATATATTAAATTCATAGCAACCAAAATATGTACGAAGTCTTTAACAAAGCTAATAAGTCATAAAAAGCATTGTAGCATCTGGCTTTACCGGTGAAAATTTAATTCTAATTCATTTTCTGCAATTCTGATCAACAAAGAGAAAAAGAATTAGAAAGTGTTGTCTCAGGATACTTGGGTTTGAAACATCCAGTTTTACTTTACCAACCAATAATGTTTTCTGGAATGATGATAAGTGTGAATAACGTACTGATATTGAGTCTCCCATATCTTATGGGTTAAAATTACAAGGTAAAACGAAGCTTATCGTAACCAATGAAGCAAAATCTGGTAAAATTTAAAGAAAAACACCGCAAAGAAAGTAAAAAGTACTAAATCTTTTCATAAAAAATTTATTAAAACTCAATTTTAACCAAAAGTTTCCTATTATCTAAATTTATAGATAATCCAAGGTCTGAGCCTTCCGCAGAGGTTTAAGACAAGCATGCTTATAGAAGTATAAGTTCTTCATTTTTCTGGGGGAAGTCTCAGACTTTTGCCAATGTTACCTAGGTTTCGATAAGTTGATATCTAGAAGTCTCAGTTAAGGATGATAAAACAAGTAAAAGATGTAGAAATAATTATTTCAGATATAGACAAGTGTTCCAGTGTTAATAAATAATTAGGCCTACTTATTGAAAATTCCTACAACAAATTCTTTGTTGAATTATATGATGAATCACTTTCTTATGAGTCGTCCTAATCTTAACAGACAATTTCAGGACTTAGAAATAGCTTCAGAAGAAAGAGTTTGAATGCTAGAAGTAAATTAAATTATTTAGGTTTGCTACCACGATTTGGTGCACAAGACCCAACAGAACGAACAAGTGACTAAGACAACCTAGAGAGCAAAAGCTGACCCAAAACAACTGTTTGCTAAAGTTAATATTTATAGGCTCTAATAATAGGACCTTGCTACAGCAGACTTATACCCATGAAGAATCCTTTAAAAAGATGAAGGTTTAGAAATTTTAAATAAACGAGAAGGATTGAGACCAAAAATGATTTCATTAAAGATACTCAACTTCCCGAGCATGCCAGTATCTCCTCCTGAGTTCCTTCCATTTTTTGAGTTTTCTTGTTTTATTTTCGAACTAAATTATTTTTCACATTCTGTAGAGCTTAAAAAGATTCCTTAATTTGTATAACTCAAGTAAGCATCTATAATATTCAGGTTTATTCATTAAAATAATAGAGCATAAATTAGGAAGCTATAATGTCCAAGGTTATCATCAAATTGCCTACTTTGGAAAATGGGACAAAATTATCATCAAGGGATTACTGATGAATCCAAAAATAATTTAAATAATGAGGAAGACCTCAGGAATCTAAATTCAATAAACCATGTTATGCTTTTATAAGTTATGAATATTTATAAGAACTCTTTTAGATTCCAAAACTTGGCAAATTTCTTTCTCCTAGGCTTGGCTACTAAAGTAAATGAATATTAAAATACTATGATAATGACTCTATCAGATTGAGGTTCTCATATTACCTTAACTATATTCATTCCATAACAGAACTTAATAATATCCAAGAAAGATCCAGAAGTATATTGAATAAACCTCTTTCTGGCGTCTCCTCAACGATACTGCCCAGGATACTCTATACCTCTCACTAGCCTAATTCCTTTGCCCTTTAGTTCTAATGTGTTACCAAAATCTAAAAACCAGTTCTAAAATAATAAATTTTACGAAAAATTAGCTATAGAGCCCATGTCCCAAAGCTTTGCTTTGGAGCCACAAACTTTTATATTAGGAGGTCATCAACACTGCTATCTATTCTTCACCGGACCTTAAGACTGCTTGTTTAGAAGAATTCCAGATCTATTTCGTTCTCTGAGTCTCAGTCAGAGGATACGGAGCTGTTGTCCTCTACTATATGGTAATTAATCTTCTTCGTCCTCTGATTCTTTGCAATTTCTTCGAAAGAACCCGCAGTAGAAGTGGAGATATACATGAAGTTTGGTGTAGCTTTCGCTATGTGAATTCCTACTTCTTTCAGACCTTGGATCCTCTTCATATCCTCATCGATAAATCTTTTTAAATTCTTGGCAACTATTTTGGGACGATTCTTGTTCACCAAAAGAGGCTTTGGTGCATCTTTCTTCTCGCTTTGGGCTTCCTTCTTGTTTCTTAAAGCTCTGATTTCCATTTGTTATTGAGGTTAATAATATTTTGGCCTTGTAAATTTATGGGGTTTTGGGGTTTTGGGGTTTTGGGGTTTTGGGG